GATGCAATTATACGTAAAAAACGTGCATTATTTGAATTTCCAAATGCTGAACGATATATTGTATAATTCCATGATGTCATTATAAATACTATGAAAAATATATATTTAAAAAAAATACTTCATTAATTTGATTTATATTACCTGGTGGATTATCATTTAAATCAAGTAAATTAATACGTAAACTACAGAACGCTAAAAAAATAAAATAAAATAAAAAAAAACCAATAATCATTGATAATACAATACTTACATTGTCGTTGTGGTGTACCATTATCAGTAGCTAATACGATCAAATACCAAACACGTGTAGCACCTAACAACACAAAAAAAGTTCTTTTTTGTTGATTATCTTAAAAAACCAATTGTAGTTTAAATATTCTTTTTTTTTCTTTTATCTCGTCATTCTCAACTTGCACTTCATTGCACAATAGAGCAATATACAGAAAAAAAGAAAAACTTACATTATACTAATTATCGCTTTCATCATACTCTGATAGTAACAATTGATTATTATTAGATCATCGGCAAAATTATCTGAGGGAAGTGTACGGTATGTAAAACATTGTCGGGACGACTACATTGACAATAGTTCGAGCTCTTAGCTTATTGTTTCGAAGATACTGCATTTCCATGATAGATTTTAAATGCATGTCATGATCTCACGCAGGAAAACGTATTTTCGATTTCGCATAGAGACAGATATTAACGAGAATAATTTATTGTGAAATTCTCAAATCTTTTGATTTGCACATTTTTCTATGATAAGAACAACGAAATGATTCCTACTAAGGACTATCTCTGTACATAGTTTTAAGTCGAAATTCGAAAATAAGATTTTCTAGCGTTCCTGACGATGTAACACCACGAACTGATAAATCGCTTTTTAAATTTTCGTCCTACCAGTTTCTAGAGCTTGTTGAGTTATTAACTGATATAATAATCATTCGTACCAACAATACGACTATAGAGTAAATTTCTGATAATCAAAGTCTCCATTAAACCGTCCATACCCTATAGTGATCCTATAGGGACTCTATAGAAGGCTTATAGGGTCCCATAGAGGCCCTATAGGGGTCTACAAACTGGCAAGACTAGAATTTAAAAAGTGATTTATCAGTTCGGGGTGTTCACTCGTGAGAGAGACTACGTCACTGACTTAAAAAATACTGTATAAATGCAATATATCAAGAGCCCTTATTAAGGCCTACATGATACACATAGTCTCAACTTGAAAACAATCACTTAGTAGACTTCCTTCATCAGATGGAAAAATTTGATTTGAAATTAGGACTTAGGTATGGATATAACCGATCGAGTTTCGATTGAAAAACTTTACCATGAAATATACATATGACTTAGAAATTCTTTGATATATTTTCTTGTTAAATTTACATCCAATAGGGAATTGATTGAAGAACAAGAACACTTCATTAATCAGCTATCTGGAAGTAAGAGCTCTTATTCGAAAACAATTTTGTTAATTTGATATCTTTTATCTAAAAGTAATGTTACTTTCACTTCTGTACAAAAAGTCAACTTTAAGTCATACTTCTATCAATTGATCACTATAGCATCCTGTACTCGCAAATAATCTATCAGAGTGAATGTATATCACAACGTAGTTAATATATGATCGCATGAATGACGCGAGACAAGCACACAGTTAGTGACCTATTCATGGTTGATACGGTCGACATTTAAATATCATAACTTTATAGTGTCTATTGAACAACTTTACTAATCAACTATAATGATTGTAAAAAAAAAATTGATATTTTGTCTTCAAACATTTCATTATACTAAATGATCTATTGATATTACCTGGTGCATCATAATCAAATGATATATTTGTTCGTAATACAGCTGTTCGAGTTGTACCCGTTTGTGGTAATTGTTGTATATAAAATTGTGAATAAGCTGTATTTCTTAAATCACTCACTTAAACCAAAAAGAAAAGATTTTTTTTTCCTTGCAAAAAGAAATTTCTAAATCAAAATTTACCTGTCGTTCTTGATTGTTCCGATGGAAATGATATTGCTATTTGTCCATCTTCACCTCGATCATCATCAAATACCGTTAATGTTGTTATATTAGCACCAATTGCATTACTTTCATAAAATGAAACAGTTGAACCACATTTTTGATTTAAAAATTGTGGTGATCGTTTATTAACAGCTGTAACATTAATTGTTATTATAGTTGATGTTGAAAATCTTGGACATGCTGAACGTGCTGGTAAACATGATGTACCATCATCACTTGCTGTTACACTAACAAAATATTGTGATGCTGATGATGATTGGAATGTTTGTTGTAATTGTAAAATACCAG